CAATATAGTTGAATATTTAAATAATGAAAATTGTCACGGGAATTAGGTAGTGAACTCTAGTCCAAGAATTACCGTTATTATTAAATTGAAATCTTTCACAAATACGTGGATGTTCTTAATTTAAACAAAAGTCGAGAATGTCGAGAACCACGTGTTAATACAATTCAAATCAAGAATTAAAACAAATATTCGTGTAGGTGCCCCTACTACAACACAATGTACAAATCTTGGCGGGCATCTATTTCCTAAAATTACATACTAAAATCATCACATAAAAATCGCATAGTTTTCTGCGAAGCGTTGATATGTATTTTCATCAACATATTTTGATGAAGAAATAAAAACGATCAAGATACCTGTTTCTGGACCGCCAAGTGGTGAGCATTATTGCGTCCCCGGTGCTGGTGAAATTACAGGCACATGGAACTTATCAACTTATGTCTCAGGGTAATAGGCGCTGTGACAGTGCCCCTCAGATCTTTGCGATTTAAAGCTCTTGAGTGGCACTGCGACAACTGTTATGAACAGTCGTGTAGCGCCGTTTGCCACCACCAGGCGCACGACTGCTCTTCCCGTTCCTTAGTATCATTAAAAAAAAAACATTTTGCATCAAAAGGGCTATGCACACGGGGTGTATTTCTCCAGAAAATAAATTATTTTTTTACTTTATTCCAAAGGCTATCTTAACGCCTTCGCAGTTGAATGACAATTTAACTTCCTTTAGGCTATTACACCGATTTGTATGGATACTGCCGGCTATTCTCTTATTTTGTTTAGGATTACCACAATCTACTCATACAAGCAAGCGTAAATTCATAAATTGATTAGTAATTTACACAATGCCATCTATTAGTAAACATAAGGTTTAGAAGCGTATTCTAATACAATACGATATAGTTTTCATTGATGAAAAGGTCAAAGTGTAAACACAGATCAGTTTCATTACACGTCAATGTTGAATTATATTTAACAAAGTTCAAAAAGTAGTTTTAGCTCACGGCTTGATATTTGAATAATATTACAAGGAAAAAACCAACTATTTGCAATTTATGTTAAGGAAAAATTAATTGATATATCCATGACCATTGAAATAATATAAAGGCTTCCAGGCAATCGAGCAACGCTATATAATGTAGATAAGACTCGATTTTGACGTTTTGCAGAATTACGATCTGTAATGTGGTCAAAGTCAAAGTCAAAGATTATTTATTACATAGGTAAAATAAATTTACACTTAAAAACGTCACATTTAAGCTACTGCTCGATCACTACGCTGACCTCCCTGAGAAGAACGAGCAAGAAACTCTAGGGATTGCTCTTTTCAAATAAAAGTAAATGGAATAAATACACTTTGAATCAAATTTGTGTGGATTCTGGAGCCATGTCGTCTTTCCATACATCTTTATCTAACACGTAGTCTTCAATTTTGTAATATGATTTTTCGATCAAAATATTTTGTGGAGATCAGCAACCCTCTTGAGTCGTTGGTTCGTGATTCTAAACAAGCTTCCGTTCTGTTCCGTCTTGTTATTATTGACTAAATTACGAAACTAAGATATTATGCTTTATTTTAGTAGCAGTAGATCTTCTTGTGAAAGAGTTCGTCCAGGGTAGTACTGCCACCTTACCTATTTCTGCCGCCAAGCAGTAATGTCCGCATTACTGTGTTCCGGTTTTGAAGGGTAAGGGTGCTGGTGAAATTACAGGCACATGGGACTTGTCAACTTATGTCTCAGGGTGACGGGCGCAGTGGCAGTGCCCCTGAAATCTTTGCGATTTAAAGCTCTGAGTGGCACTGCAACTGTTATGGACAGGCGTGTATATAGGCACGACTTGTTCGTCCCGTCTCTTGATATTATAAATTTAAATAAAAAATCTCGAAATCATTAAACGACCTAGGAAGATAGCACTCTCCACTATATTTACGATTTTTAATTAGTGTGATCAAAATTTTG